CAATTCTGATGCCTTTGATTTCCTTTTGTTGTCTGATGGCTGATGCTAGGACTTCCAGCACTATGTTAAACAACAGTGGTGAGAGTGGACATCCCTGTCGTGTTCCTGATCTCAGGGGGAAAGCTCTCAGTTTTTCCCCGTTGAGGATGATGTTAGCTGAAGGCTTCTCATAGATGGCTTTGATGATGTTTAAGTAGGTTCCTTCTATCCCAACTTTCTCGAGAGTCTTTATTAAGAAGGGATGCTGTATTTTGTCAAATGCTTTTTCTGCATCTATTGACAGGATCATATGGTTTTTATCTTTTCTTTTATTGATATGATGTATCACATTGATTGATTTGCGAATGTTGAACCAGCCCTGTAACCCAGGAATGAATCCCACTTGATCTTGGTGGATGATTCTTTTGATATGCTGCTGGATTCGATTTGCAAGGATCTTGTTGAGAATTTTTGCATCCGTATTCATCAAGGATATTGGCCTATAGTTCTCTTTTTTTGCTGGATCTCTGTCTGGCTTGGGAATCAGAGTGATGCTGGCTTCATAAAATGAGTCCGGGAGTTTTCCTTCGACTTCTATTTTTTGGAATAGCTTGAGAAGAATTGGGATTAATTCTGTTTTAAATGTCTGGTAGAATTCCCCAGGGAAACCATCAGGTCCAGGGCTCTTATTTGTTGGGAGATTTTTGATCACTGATTCGATTTCTTCACTCGTTATGGGTCTGTTCAGGTTTTCTATTTCTTCCCGTGTGAATTTTGGTAGTGAGTGTGTGTTTAGGAATTTGTCCATTTCTTCTAAGTTGTCCAATTTGTTGGCATATAATTTTTCATAGTATTCCCTGATAATTGCTTGTATTTCTGAGGGGTTGGTTGTAATAAGTCCATTTTCATTCATAATTTTGTCTATTTGGGTGCTCTCTCTTTTCTTTTTGATAAGCCTGGCTAGAGGTTTGTCAATTTTGTTTACTTTTTCAAAAAACCAACTCTTGGTTTCATTGATCTGTTCAATTGTTTCTTTGGTCTCTATGTTGTTTATTTCTGCTCTAATTTTTACTATTTCTCTTCTTCTACTGGGTTTAGGGCGTTCTTGTTGCTCTGCCTCTAGCTCCTTTAGGTGAGCTGTTAGATTTTGGACTTGTGCTTTTTCTAATCTCTTGAAATAGGCCTGGAGAGCAATGTACTTTCCTCTTAGGACTGCCTTGGCCGCATCCCATAGATTTTGAATTGTTGTGTTTTCATTTTCATTTGTTTCCATATATTTTTTAATTTCCTCTCTAATTGCCTGATTGGCCCATTCATTCTTTAGAAGGGTGTTCTTTAACCTCCATGTTTTTGGCGGTTTTCCAGACTTCTTCCTGTAATTGATTTCAAGTTTCAAAGCATTGTGATCTGACAGTGTGCATGGTATGATCTCTATTCTTTTATATTTATTGAGGGCTGCTTTATGTCCCAGTATGTGATCTATCTTGGAGAATGTGCCATGCGCACTTGAGAAGAAAGTAAATTCCCTGGCCTCAGGATGTAAAGTTCTAAATATATCCGTCAGATCCATCTGGTCCAATGTGTCTTTCAAGTCCATTATTTCTTTAGTGATTTTCTGTCTGGTTGACCTATCCATTGGTGTAAGCGGAGTATTAAAGTCCCCTGCTATTAGCACATTCTTATCTATAAGCTTGTTTCTGTTTGTGATTGTTTTAGATATTTAGGTGCTCCCATATTCGGTGTGTAGACATTTATGATTGTTAGTTCTTCCTGATGGATGGGCCCTGTAATTATTATGTAGTGCCTTTCTTCATCTCTTGTGTTTGTCTTTAATTTAAAGTCTAGTTTGTCGACTTTAAATTTTTTTAATTTGAAAATTTGTGGTTTTAGAGTTATGTAAGAGCTATGTAAGAAGTGTTGAAACACACATCTTTTTGTTTGCCAAAGTTTGCTGAACAGTACTGAACATCATTTCATATGTACTTATTTCTGTACAGTTTAAATAAATGCTAGCCACAGACTACTAATTTACTTAGTAACATACTAATGGATCAGAATTTGAAGTTTGTAAAACACTGTAAATCTAGTATAATCCCTTTATTCGACCTGTCAAGACACGCAGTATCTACAGATGACCAACCCAGAATCCAGATATTGCCACATTTCCCAAGAATATATTCATTAAAGAACAAAACCAGACTTCCTTATATAATAGCAGATTCTAGTGTAGGAAAAACTTGGAGGATAAGTGTTTCTACTTGACTGTATTGCCTGTGCCTGTCTCCATGGTGTGAAATGGGAAGGCCCGTCCATTTCAAATGGACTTGTTACATATCAACACAATTTTTATTATTCGTGGTCTGTAATTAAATATACAAACTGCTAGCCAAAGTTAACAGTTGGTCATTTTTGAATTACAAATGGAGAATAAGTCATTTATAGACAGCCTGGTAGCCTTTATATTGTCACCTAAGAATTAATGACAAGAATGTCATATTCATATTTGCTGCAAGTTTTTTGTATTTCATTTTGGAAAAGAGCTTATGGAAGGAAGGAGTGAAGGATAAATGAAATTTGAAGGTCAGTGTGAGGTTATGGGGAAAAAATGGCCCTTTCAGTTCTGTTATTTGAATCCTTGCTCCTAGTTCTTAAACCTTTGGAAGATAACTTGCCTATGCCTCATTTTTCTCATTTACAAATGAGATATATGGACGTATATCTATATCATAGCTTTAATGTTAAGATTAAATGAGGGCCTGGTGGTGTAAAATATATTTTAATAAATATTAGTTTTCTTCTTTCCTGTCTTCCTTAGGAAGGAATTCAGTGAAAATATGTTGCTAGAATAAGCAGGGCTGGAGAGTGTAGAAAAATGCAAAAAGAAAGGTACATCTTTTTTTATTGGTTGTTTTCTTCCTAGTAAGTCTATTGTGCATGATCCCAATTTTGTCTAATTTCTTTTAGAAAAGGTAGGTGATAAGTAGGTAGACTTCCTATGCATCCTGCTACCTCCCCCTTATTTATTTATTTATTTTAAATTAATTAAAAATGTTTTTTATTTTAGAGAGAGTGATAGCGTCAACAGGGGAGAGGGTCAAAAGGAAGGGGTGGAGAGAGAGAGAGAGAGAGAGAGAGAATCTCAAGCAGACTCCATGCTCAGTATGGAGCCCGACACGGGGCTTGATCCCAAGACCCTAGGATCATGACCTCAGCTGAAATCAAGAGTTGGACACTCAGCTGACTGAGCCACACTAGCACACCCTTTGTCCCCTTAAATTTTTTTTTTTTGATGTTTATTTTTGAGAGAGAGAACGAGAGCGCGAGCGAGCTGGAAGGGGCAGAAAGAGAGAGAGACAGAGGATCAGAAGCAAGCTCCCCGCTGACAGCAAAGAACCCAATGCCGGTCTTGAACTCACAAACCCTGAGACCATGACCTGAGCTGAAGTTGGGCGCTTAACCTGCTGAACCACCCAGGCACCCCTCCCTCACCTTTTTTTTTTTTTTTTTTAATGTTTTATTTCTGACAGAGAGAGAGAAAGACAGTGTGAGCAGGGGAGGGTCGGAGAGAGAGAGGGAGACACAGAATCCGAAACAGGCTCCAGGTTCTGAGCTGGCTGTCAGCACAGAGCCGGACGCGGGGCTCGAACCCATGAACCGCGAGATCATGACTTGAGCCGAAGTCGGATGCTTAACTGACTGAGCCACCCAGGCACCCCCTCCCTCACCTTTTTAAAGAGGGAAATTATTGGGGCGCCTGGGTGGCTTAGTCGGTTAAGCGTCTGACTTTCGCTTGGGTCATGTTCTCGCGGTTCGTGGGTTCAAGCCCCGCATCGGCCTCTGTGCTGACTGCCAGCTCAGAGCCTGGAGCCTATTTCAGGGTCTGTATCTCCGTCTCTCTCTGACCCTCCCCTGCTCACGCTGTCTCTCTCTCTCTCTCCTAGAAATAAATAAAAATATTTAAAAAAAAAAAAAAGAGGGAAATTACTCAGGTGATGATAGGCAAGTTTAGGAGGCCAGGAAGTAGTAGCTTTGTAGCCACTTCTAGTATTTTAGTTCCTGGTGTCTCTGATTTGCTTTATTACAGAGAATTTACTGAAGATGTGTCATTCCTGATACCAGGTACGTTAGCTAGCTGATAGCTATTAATTATAGGTATTACCTAAAACCGGTTGTCCTTGCGTGTGAAATATACACTTCCTTTGATTTAACCCAGATATTCTAGGAACAAAATTACAAAGAGGGGGATGGAAGTATAGAATTAGAATCTTGTCTACCTGCCTTGTAAAAAAAAAAATTATAGCTTAATTTTTTAATCATCCCAAAAAGAAAACTTGTACCCATTAGCAGTCATTCTCTACCACTAATCTCTCACCCCTTTACCTTTTTCCTCTGGCACCTCAACCACTTAAAACCAAAAATGTGCTTTTTATCTCTGTGGATTTGCTTATTTTGGATATTTCATTTTAATGAAGTTCTATAGTATATGGCCTTTTGCAACTAACTTCTTAGCCTAGTATTTTAAGGATTCATCCGTGTTGTAGGATGAGTCAGTAGTTCATTATTTTATATTGCCAAATAATATAATATGAACATACTGCATTTTGTTTACCTCTTCATTAGTTGATGGATATTTGGGTTGTTTTCACTTTTTGGCTATTATGAATAATGTTGCTATGAACATTCATGTAGAAGTTTTTGTGACATATTTTCAGTTTTCTTGCATATATACCTCAGAGTAGAATTGCTGGGTCATATGCTAACTTCTTGTTTAACATTTTGAGGACTTTATAAAACTCTTTTCCAGAGTGATTGCACCGTTTTGTCTAGCTAGCTGGATTTTAAATCACTTGCTGTCCAGGTTCTCATTTCATATATATGTTTCATAGCTGAAACAAGTGGTTTGAATTGGTAGGGGGAAAAATCCACCTGTTGTAGTTTGTAAAGTTGGAAGTCCTTTTTCTTAAAGTGGGTTTGGAATTATAAATATTAATCTTTGGCTCTTTTTGTTTGTTTGTTTGCAGTTTTATCTCCAAGACACTAAAAGTAGTAACGGTACCTTTATAAATAGCCAGAGATTGAGTCGAGGCTCTGAAGAAAGTCCACCATGTGAAATTCTTTCTGGTGACATTATCCAGTTTGGGGTAGATGTAACGGAGAACACACGGAAAGGTACGGGTATGGATCGATTTTCCTATTATTTGTCTTTTTCAGTTAAAAAAAAGTCTATTTAATGCTATAAAACATTTCATGTTTGTAAAAGCAACTTACATTCAGCATTATATGCAGTGAAAAATTGAAAATCTCTTCTCCTACTGCTTTTCTAAAAATTTAAATTCTGAAACATTAATAAGTGATTTATATTTTTCATCACAGTATGAAAATATAGGACATTCCTGTGTTAATTTAGGAAACAGTTGGCTGCAGTAACAGCATATTCATCCAACAGGAGCTGAAACCATATGGATATTTATTGTAAAGGGTGGGTCAGATTTTGTACACCTGACTCAGTGATGTTATCAGGAATCCAGGGTTCTCACTCCCCTCCCATCTTACTGTCCTTAACATGTTTTCTTACGCCTTTCCTTATGTCTTTGCTTGTCACCTCATGGTTAAAGAGGGACGGCTGCAGCCTCATGCCTTATTTTCCTCCTGCCAGTGTCCTTGGCAAAAACTGTGAGGCTGGGACAAAATGTCTTCCTGTGTGGCTTTTTTTTTTTTTTTTTTAATGTTGAAAGAATAATCTTCCATAGAATTCTCTGAGCAGGTTTTTACTCTTCTTGTCTCATTGCCCACATGCCTAGCTACCTCTGGCTACAAAGAAGCCTGGGAAGTTACTTACTTAGCAGGTGGTATCAGGAACTCTATGATTGTCATAGGTTATAATTTAACCCTTCCAGTTTTGCATACATTTTGGCTCAAACAAAATTAGGGTTCTGTAAGCAGTTCATAGTACCTATGAAATAGAAAATTTCACATCTCAACAGGTTTTGAAACCAGAAGTTCTCTAGCTAAATAAATGTAGATTGGCTCTATTTTTATAATTCTGAAGCTTCCTGGCTCTACCTGGCTTTACTATCTACTTTATGACCATGAAATTATATGGCTGGATCATAAACTAAATGAAATAGGAACCAAAGTGTGCAGTTCCACTCTCTTAGTTTAATATGGACAGTGGAAGCAATTGACAAGTTTCTTCTTTGGCTTCTTGGAGCATACTTGGATCTGGTGATACTCTAAGTCATCAGTCTCTGACATTTTTCACAGTAGGCATGGGGAAGAATGACAGCGGCTGGGTGGTGATGCTGCTGCTGTGTGTGTACATGTGTGTATATGTTTATAAACTTTCACTGGTTGTTGCAACCACAGTTTATTTTCATTGGGCTTTGATGGTCTCCTCCAGGAGTTAGGTTTTGATATTTGTATTTGGGTAGAGTCAAAGTCTTAGGAATTTGCATTTACAATTGTAAAATAGAAAAGAAAGTTTATATTTTGAGGCAGAATATTGAGTCCTCCTTACTAAGAGATCTCAACTAAATTAAGATCGTACTGAGAACAGCTATGTCAGACACTGTAACATCTGTTGCCACATCACACCACCTCTGGTACCAAGGCATTCAGCAAACACTTAGTGAGCCTCAGCTGTAAGTAACCCACAGAGAAGACAGTTTGATTATGTGTTTTCTCCAAGGAACGTCTGTCTTCTTGGCTTGCATTTCCCTAAGAGAATTCACGGTGTTAATTAATAAAAGAATGAGGTTATCAGATACATGTAGGAAATGATTAGTTAACCAAAGGTAAACAGGACTTCTCAGTCTTTAATATGCCAACATATATGCAGAAGTCTAGAAGGCTGACTGTTCTAGAATGTAACTCTTTCCAAACTCCTTCCTACTCTTCTTTCCCATATAGCTATGAGAGACATTCTTTAGAACATGTAGTAAGAAGCTAAAAGGACAATCCTGAAATTCAGGTTGTTATTATTAGTGCACTATTATTTCAGCAACATTAGATTCTTATAGGCTTCTTTGAAAATTTAACTATCTTTTATGCCAACTTTAAGGAAATTAAGAAAATTTCATCATTTAAAATGTTGTTTCTTTTGTTATTTATTGCCTTCAGAAAGTTGACTTACGATATGCATGGCCTCTTGGGATAAGCTGTGCCACTAAGTTGAGCTACCCATTTAAGCACACACCAGGGGATAAAAGTTAGACTTTGCCCCATGCTAACCAGTACTGTGATAAGCTTTATATTACTTGGAAAATCCTACTGAAATTATACAGCACTGCAGGATAACCCCTGGATCAAAGAAAAAATCAAAAGGGAAACTTTATATGGGAAGGAAAGGAAAGGAAAGGAGACTTTTATACCAAAGTACACTAAATCCTTTGCTCAGATAAAAAGTGTAATTTTAAATTCCTTCTGTACTAAAGAAGCAAGATAATGAAGGAGCCTGGTATTTAGAAGAAATTAGGGAAAAACAACAACAACAAAAAAAGAAACTGGGAAATAAAAAGCAGAAATTAATGAAATAAGCAAAAAACTATAGAAGGGATAAACAAACCAAATGCTGGTTCTCTATAAATCAACCTCTCTATAAATCAACCAGCCAACCAGCTAACAATAAAATGGGTAACTCATAAGCCTTGATTCTCTTACTAGGTTAAAAAAATACTAGCAAAAAATGTAAGATAAGGAATGAGGAAGGATACTAAATACAGATACAGGACATACTAAAAGAATTTTGAGAAAGTAGTACATGTCAACCTATGGCAAAGAAAAAGGAAAAAAAAAAAACCAGAGTAAATTGTTTTCCTAGCAAAATTATCCCAAGATTTCGAAAACTTGAGTACATTGATTTCCTTAAAAGAGAAGAGGAAGTTATTATAGATTGACCAGAAACAGGCATTCATGGCTGGATTTTAGCTTATTTTTAAAAACAGATACATTCAATGTTATTTAAATAATCCAAACATGCATAAAGGTGGAAAGCTTTCAAAATCCTTAGTGCCAAATTCCGATAAAGTTATAGTACAAAAAAAGAAAACTAGAACTGATTTCACTTGTGACAATAGATGAACAATTCTGATTAAGGTATTAATAAATTAACTTCAGAAATGAAGCTAGAATAAATAACAAAGGAGATTTTATTCTAGGAATGCAAAAATGATTCAGTGTTGGGGAAATCGACCAACATCATCCACAAACTAAAACTGAAAAACCTGTAACTGTATAACCAGCAGGTATTGAAAAGACACTTGATCCTTCTTTTTCTATCTGAGGTGGCAGCTGGCCTCCCTCCTCTCCGGCCCCATTTTACATATAGTCCTGGCTTTCCTTTTCTGTCAGGACCTGAGGAGCCTGAGCACTTCCCATGTCACTTCAGGGTGGCCTTATAGCCCCCGGCCCCTAGAGTCCCTGTGTTTCTCCTTTCCTTGGGTGTTGGTCCCTGCTCTCCCCTTGCCATGAATGAGGAGTAAGATGTGACCTGTGATTACGCTGGGCACCGGCCTGTTGGAGTATATCCTGTGAGGTATAACATCAGTGAATGAAAAGAAAATTCTTCACATGGATAGAAACCTATATTGAGGAAAAAGTGCACCTACAACACCTCTGGAAGATTTCTACAAAAGATTTAAAATACCAGGAGCATCACCATCATTACTGGGGAGAGGAAGGGACTGGAATGTTGTCTTAATTCCTAAGTTCCTTATGGCCAGTGGTCAGCTGGTTAAGATGATGCTTTATACATGGGTGCCTGGGTGGCTTGGTCAGTTAGGTATCTGACTCTTGGTTTCTGGTCAGGTCAGGGTCTCTCGGTTTGTGGATGTGAGCCCCGCATTGGGCTCTGTGCTGACAGTGCAGTGCTTACTTGGGTTTCTCTCTCTCTCCTCTCTCTGCCCCTTCCCCACTTGCCCTCTCGGTTTCTCTCTCAAAATAAACTTAAAAAAAAAAAAAAAAAGATGCTGCTTTATACAGAGGTTACTCACTATCTGGATTTCAAAGTGACTGAAAAGAACTTTGTCTATAAGGGAGGAGAAATCTACAAGGTTCCTTCCACTGAAGCAGAAGCCCTGGCATCTAGTTTAATGGGACTGTTTAAAAAAATGTGGCTTCCCAGAACTTTTGAGGGTGTTGATCCTAAGAAGACTGCAATGCGAGAGGTTGACAAGAAATTTGACTTGGGACATGATGTCATTGATTTTACTGGCCATGCCCTGGCACTTGATAGAACTGATGACTAGATCAACCACGTTGTGAAACCATTAATAGGATTAAACTTTACGGTAAGTCTCTGGCAATATATGGCATGCCTTTATCCACTCTGTGGCCTTGAAGAACTGCCACAAGAATTTGCAGGGTTGAGTGCTATTTATGGTGGTATCTACATGCTCAGTAAAACACTGAAGAAATCATTCTGCAAAATGGAAAAGTGATTGGTGTGAAGTCTGAAGGAGAGGTTGCTTGCTATAAGCAGCTCATTTGTGATCCCAGCTATTTAAAAGACTGGGTAGAAAAAATGGGCCAGCTGATCAGAGTTATCTGCATCTTCAGCCATCCCATCAAGAACACCAGTGATGCCAACTCCTGCCAGATCATCATTCCCTAGAACCAAGTCAGTTGGAAGTCACATAGTCATGTCTGCTTGATCTCCTCCACACACAATATGGCAGCACAAAGGAACATCTCCATAGTACAGTGGTAGAGACCAAGGAACTAGAGAAAGGAATCAGACCAGATTTGGAGCTTTTGGAAACAATTGAACAAAAATTTGTTAGCATCATTGACGTCTTTGTACCAAAAGATTTGATAACAAAAAGCCGTATCTTTATTTCCTGCACATATGATGCTCCAACTCACTTTGAGACAGCTTGTGATGACATTAAAGACATTCGTAAGAGGATAACCGAATCCAAGTTTGACTTTGGGGAAATGAAGCACAAGAAAAATGACATCTGTGGGAAAGACTAACAGCGGTACATTTTATCAACTAATTAGGACAAACTTAGCTTTTGGCAAATGATATATACTACATGAAATCAATATTGTAAAGCCTGCTTTTATAATCAAAACTGAGATTCATACATATTCCTAAACTAAATATTCTTCCCCTTTCTTTCCTTTTTTTTTTTTTTTAAAGAGGGGGAAGGAGAGAGAATCTTGGGCAGGCTCCT